CCCCACCCTCAACCCTCACCCCGTCCCAGGTACTCACTCCCCCACCCTCAACCCTCACCCCCTCCCCAGTACTCACTCCCCCACCCTCAACCCCACCCCGTCCCCAGGTACTCACTCCCCACCCTCAACCCTCACCCCCTCCCCGGGGTACTCACCTATATCCCGTCCACCCCACCTCAACCCTCACCCCCTCCCAGGTACTCACTCCCCACCCTCAACCCTCACCCCGTCCCCAGGTACTCACTCCACCCAACCCCCTCAACCCTCACACCCCTCCCCAGGTACTCACTCCCCACACTCAACCCTCACCCCCTCTTCAGGTACTCACTCCCCACCCTCAACCCTCACCCCTCCCCAGGTACTCACTCCCCACCCTCAACCCTCACCCCCTCCCCAGGTACTCACTCCCCACCCTCGACCCTCACCCCCTCCCCAGGACTCACATCCCCCACCCTCAACCCTCACTCCGTCCCCAGGTACTCACTCCCCCACCCTCAACCCTACCCCCTCCCCAGGCACTCACTCCCCCACCGTCAACCCTCACCCCCTCCCCAGGTACTCACTCCCCACCCTCAACCCTCACCCCGTCCCCAGGTACTCACTCCCCCACCCTCAACCCTCACCCCCTCCCCAAGTACTCACTCCCCCACCCTCAACCCTCACCCTGTCCCCAGGTACTCACTCCCCACCCTCAACCCTCACCCCCTCCCCAGGTACTCCACTCCTCCTCCCTCAACCCTCCAGCCCTCCCCCGTCACACCTCCTACTACTCCCCCCCACCCTCCAACCCTCACTCACCGTCACCTCCCAGGTACTCACTTCCCCCACCCTCAACCCTCACCCCCTCCCCAGGTACTACTCCCACACCCTCAACCCTCATCCCGTCCCCAGGTACCACTCCCCACCCTCAACCCTCACCCCTCCCCAGGTACTCACTCCCCCACCCTCAACCCTCACCCCCTCCCTGGTACTCACTCCCCCACCCTCAACCCTCACCCCGTCCCCAGGTACTCACTCCCCACCCTCAACTCTCACCCCTTCCCAGGTACTCATTCCCCCACCCTCAACCCTCACCCCGTCCCCAGGACTCATTCCCCCCACCCTCAACCCTCACCCCATTCCCCAGGTACTCATTCCCCCACCCTCAACCCTCACCCCCTCCCCAGGCAGTCACTCCCCCACCCTCAACCTCTCACCAGTCTCGCCCTTAAATAACCCGTGTTTCACTAACATCTCCAATGTTTCCTGGTAGCAGGTTGAAAAGACACAAGGTATTGACGCCCTTTACCCTAGTTGTGCCTATAACGTCCCTGCTGGTTACAGGTTTCAACACTACCTACCACATCTCTCACTCCTGGATACTGTTATGGCATTGCATTAAGAAATTAGAGGTAATACTGTTTTATTGATTTTATCCGGACAGTAAACATTGCGTTGCGCTGGCCACACAACCAACTAATGTTCTCGTTAAAAAGTCGCTATTGAGACAATTTCCCTGCAAACTTTTGCAACACTAGGCAAAAGCAAGCACATGATTTGGTAGGCGATGCAACATACCCCCAGTGAAAAGTAGGGCGCCACTAGTACACTAAGAGAAAATATAATAAGTGTCCGGGGCCCAAGACTGTTCAACAGCCTCCCACCAGCCATAAGGGGCATTACCAATAGACCCCTGGTTGTCTTCAAGAGGGAGCTGGACAGATACCTAAAGTCAGTGCCAGATCAGCCGGGTTATAGCTCGTACGTTAGATTGCGTGCGACCAGCAGTAACAGCCTGGTTAATCAGGTCCTGATCCACCAGGAGGTCTGGTCATGGACCGGGCCACGGGGGCGTTGATCCCCGAATACCCTCCAGGTAGACTCCAGGTAACACGCTTCCAACAATATTTCGTCAACCGGTCATTTTAGAGCAAATTTAATGAGCTTCAAGTTGTATACCTGGAATATACCTGGAGGGAGTTCCGGGGATCAACGCCCCCGCGGCCCAGTTTATGACCAGGCTACGTGGTGGATCAGGGCTTGATCAGCCAGGCTGTTACTGCCGGCCGCATGCAAACCGACGTACGAACCACAGCCCGGCTGATCACGTGGGGAGTCTTAGGCTTTCAATCGGGATCCAAATCACTGTTTCATCGCCCACTGGCGAGTTCGTAAGTTCCTTCTGAGCGCCTCACACACCTCTCTAACACAACGTGTGAGCACAGCGGTGCTCAAGGTATCATAGGACAACAAAACTCTCAAAATTAACATCACTGAGTAAGTTATGGTGTTTCTAAAAATCTCATAACAACTTTCTCTTATTGTTTCGCTCCTTGGCTACAGTTACTCTCCTGTACCAAAAACGATGTACGGTGTGACATCAGTATTGCCAGACCCTCCTCCAGCACTGTACCCGTCATTCTGACTCGAGTCACGATATTGGTGGGGGTAGAACTCATGGCAAGTGAATTGTAAAACTCCAGGCCAGCGCGTCTCAAATTTAACCAATAATATACAGTAAGAGTAACAAAGGCAACAATGAATGAAGGATAGATTGTGCTTTAATAGGTGAAGAAAACTGGGAGGTACTGAGGAGACTGAGGAAGCTAAGAAGAACGAGAGAGATTAAGAAGACCGAAAGAGATTAAGATCGAGGGAGCTTAAAAAAGACTGAGAGAGCTTAAGAAGACTGAGGGAGCTTAAGAAGACTGAAGGAGCTTAAGAAAACTGAGGGAGCTTATGAAGACTGAGGGAGCTTAAGAAGACTGAGGGAGCTTAAGAAGACTGACGGAGCTTAAGAAGACCAAGAGAGCTGAAGAAGACTGATGGAGCTTAAGAAGACCAAGAGAGCTTAAGAAGACTGAGGGAGCTTAAGATCGATGGAGCTTAAGAAGACTGAGGGAGCTTAAGAAGACCAAGAGAGATTAAGAAGACTGAGGGAGCTTAAGAAGATTGATGGAGCTTAAGACCAAGAGAGCTTAAGAAGACCAAAGAAGCTTAAGAAGACCGAGGGAGCTTAAGAAGACCAAGAGAGCTTAAGAAGATTGAGGGAGCTTAAGAAGACTGAGAGAGCTTAAGAAGACTGAGGGAGCTTAAGAAGACCGAGGAAGCATATGAAAACCAAGGGAGCTTAAGAAGACTTAGAAAGCTTAAGAAGACCAAGTGAGCTTAAGACCGAGGGAGCTTAAGATGACTGAGGGAGCTTAAGGAGACCAAGAGATCTTAAGAAGACTGAGGGAGCTTAAGAAGACCAAGAGAGCTTAAGAAGACTGGGGGAGCTTAAGACCGAAGAAGCTTAAGAAGACTGAGGGAGCTTAAGAAGACCGAGGAAGGTTCAGAAAGCTGAGGGAGCTTAAGAAGACCAAGAGAGCTTAAGAAGACCAAGAAAGCTTAAGAAGACTGAGGGAGCTTAAGAAGACAGAGGGAGCTTAAGAGGATCGAGGGAGCTTAAGAGGATCGAGGGAGCTTAAGACTGAGGGAGCTTAAAGTGTTCATATGGTACCGACACAGTTGCTTTACTCATGATTCTGAACGACAGTAGAATGCCGACGTTTTCTTAGAAGTATGGACTGAACTTTTCGGTCTGACGTACAGACGCAGAGACTGAGTATTTGTAAACTATATCCTGATTGAGATCTGGTTGCGGGGGCGATGCTCTTGGAAATAAACTGCAGTTTACTCAGTCTTCGAAGTGTGAGAAACAGTATAGGTGCCAAAACTGCGCCTTGTGGCACGCGGTGAAGGCTGCCAGGACCTGTAGTGTTTATCATTAGCGTGTCGGTATTAATGTGACATTTACAGCCAGATTTTCTCATGTTTACTAATTGCTTTTGTATGCAAAAAATAAAAAGTCCTGTAAACAAAATCTACATTTTTATTTTCTTCCAGTCTTTATGATCTTGTGTTGGTGGTTTGTTAGTTGCGATGGTCAGGATGTTTGTGAAGCAATGTTGACGTGGTCTGTGGAGTTGATGGTCTCATTGTCTGTGGAGTTGATGGTCTCATTGTCTGTGGAGTTGATGGTCTCATTGTCTGTGGAGTTGATGGTCTCATTGTCTGTGGAGTTGATGGTCTCATATCTGTGGAGTTGATGGTCTCATGGTAGTGGATCAAGGTCTCCATATCTGTGGAATGACGTCCTCATTATCTGTGTGAGTTTGATGGTCTCATGGTAGTGGATAAAGGCCTTCCTTAACTACTGCTAACCTCGACACGTTATGCCTGTCCGCTTTTGCAGATCTTACCATCTCAGCCTTTTGATGTTCCAGTGATAAAGTTGCACCTTCCTACAGCTATCCTGCCTAACCTCGACACGTGTCATGACGCAGAGTTTGTGAAACAGATTCACCATGTCTCAGCCATATGGAATTGTCTTTTGAAACCAGAATTATATTTTTAAGTGTGGTGTACACACTTCACTAAGTATCTTCTCCATTACTCACATAGTCCGCAGTTAGAACGCTACCTGTCTGCTCTCTTAAATCTGGGACATACCTTTTCGCATGCTATTCACCATCTCAGACAGTTGATGTGTATCTTGTGCTGAGAGCGTGTGTGGTCCATGTACAAGGATGTCACCAGGCAGGTCCATATGGCCGTATTATGACCCTCACCACCATTGTTTCCATCATCAAAGTGTAACTATAGCCTTGCATACTGACCTGCCTTCCTTCCACCATCCCCTCTTTCTCATCTCCCTCCCCTTTCCTTCCCACACCATCACCTCCCCTTCCCTTCCCACTACCATCACCTCCCCTTCCCTTCCCACTACCATCACCTCCCCTTCCCTTCCCACTACCATCACCTCCCCTTCCCTTCCCACTACCATCACCTCCCCTTCCCTTCCCACTACCATCACCTCCCTCCTTCCACTTCCCACTCCTTCCCCACTACCATCACCTCCCCTTCCCTTCCCACTACCATCACCTCCCCTTCCCTTCCCACTACCATCACCTCCCCTTCGCAACACTTGTAGGATAAAGTTATACGTTGTATTAACTTTGTGTTGTTATATCGTGCAGATATTTCTTCTTCGTGTTGCTGGCGCTGACGGTGCTGGGGGTGCTGGACGGCTTAGTCTTCCTGCCGGTGCTGCTCTCCCTGGTGGGTCCTCCTGCAGAAGTGGTGCCCCGCAATCACCCAGATCGCCTCCCGACGCCCACGCCGCCACCCTCGCCTCAGCCCGTCCACGCCCACTCCCACAGCGGATCGTCCCGCCGGAGCTCGGGTCGGGGCGCCTCTGGCGGGAGGAGTTGTCGCCGCTCGAGTAGTGGAGGTGGAGGAGGGTCGTCCCTCTACCCGCGCCTCCACGGCTCTAACCTCTCCCTCACCACCATCACGGAGGAACCCTCGTCGTCCACGCGGTCGTCGCAGTCGCTCAGGTCGTCACACGAGATCGTGGTGGAGCCCCAGGTCGTGGTGGAGACGACGACTTCACCGTCGACGACCTACCCGGGGGAGGGCCACCACGACCACCACGTCACTACCAAAGTGACAGCCACAGCCAAGGTCAAGGTGGAGCTACACACGCCTCTCCCTGGTGAGTCTCTGCCGCACCTCAGCCTCACTTCGGCCTCACTCAACCTCACCTCAGCCTCACCTGATCCTCACCTGATTCTCACCTCAGCCTCACCTCATCCTCTCATCAGCCTCACCTCAGCCTCGCATCATCCTCTCATCAGCCTCACCTCATCTTCACCTCAGCCTCACATCAGCCTCACCTCAACCTGACATCAGCCTCACATCAGCCTCACCTCAACCTGACATCAGCCTTGCATCAGCCTCACCTCGCTAGATTATAATTATTATAATCAAAAAGAAGCGCTAAGCCACAAGGACTATACAGCTCACCTCGCTAGAGGGAAAAAAAAATAACTCTGAGACGTTAACATCATCCAAATCACCTTCAATTACAGTGTTTTTTCTAGTGTGGAGTGTATACAATCATGTGATTTACAACACTTGTCCCAATACAGTCTTTTCGGCATTGGAACTTTCCTTAGCATAAACAAAAGCTAATTGGAACTTTGTACTCGGCGTCTACCTCCATTAGGAGCTGTTGAGCCGACCTACCGCAGCAGCAGCAGCAGCAGCAGCAGCAGTAGCAACAACAACAGCGGCACCAGACGCAGCAGTCAGCGGAGTGGTAACAGCAGAAGTGGGTACGGAGGGGCGGCCAGTAACACCGCCTCGGCGTCTCTCACCTCCAGCTCCTCCTCCAGTGGTGGTGGTGCAGCCACTTCCTCCTCCACCTCGTCCTCCAAAGGATCTTCAGACGTGGATGAGGACACTTTCCCCAAGTGAAGGTGAGTTGAACTCTCCTTGTGTCACCATCACCAGCTGGTGCTCCACTGAAGGTAGCTCACTAGTCATGACATAAATGCTAAAAATAGCAGTGTTGATTTTCACTTTCGTTATACATCTACCACCGAGGTAGGCTGATACACACAAGAAAGAAGAAACGCTTTCACCGTCATTCACTCAATCACTGTCTTGCCAGAATCGTGGTGACATCGCACTTCAGATCTCCCTCTAAACCCCAACATTCTCTCACCCCTTCTTTAGAGTACAGGCACTCTACTTCCCACCTCCAGGACTCAAGTCCATCTAACTGGTTTTCCTGACTCCCATCAGCACGTCATACCACATTAGCCACTGGCCTCCATTCACTCCGATGTAACACTCTCACACAAGCCTGACAGATGTTCAAGCCTCTATCGTTTAAAACCTTTACCCCCTCTACCTCCAACCTTTTTTGGGGGGAGGATGACCCCCACCCTATATTTCATGCCAGATTTATAAACCCTCCTAGGTATCGTGTTTTGTTTCATACTCTCTAAATGTCAAACCACCTCGACATCCCCTTCTCAGCCCTCTGAATAATACTTTGGCAACTGCACAGCCTCCGGTCTCCGGACTCGTAATTCTCTGCATAACATTCACAGCACACATTGCCTTCAAACATGACTCCACTTCTTCCAGCATCCTCAAACTCGCTGCATCATTAAATCCATGTTTCACACCCATATAACAGTGTTGGTAACTCTGTACTCTGATTCACTCCAAATATTGCCTTCATGGACGAGGCTCCTCGTCTCCACAGATGCCTCAACGCACCTCGTCTTTCATAGACTCATCCGCCGACAAGTTCACTCCCAGATGTCTGAATACATTTACTTCCTCCATACTTCCTCACATTAATCCCATATTAAGTCTGTTAGTGCCTAGATACTTTCATCATTTTGTTCTTTCCAGTGTTTACTTTTCATTTCTTTCTTTTGCATATTCCTCTACCAACCATTGCAATTTTTCTTCAGATTCTCCTGAAAAAGCTTTGTCGTCATCGGCACATTACACAACACACACACACACACACACACACACACACACACACACACGCACAAAGGTCCAGACAAGATATGATATAGATATAATAAAAGTAGTTTGTTAGATTATGTATTGGTGGATAAAAGGTTGATGTGTAGACTTCAGGATGTACGTGTTTACAGAGGGGCAACTGATATATCGGATCATTATTTAGTTGTTGTAGCTACAGTTAGAGAAAGAGGTAGATGGGACAAGAGGAAAATGGCAACAGTAAGTGAGAGGTGAAAATGTATAAACTAAGGGAGGAGGAAGGTAGGGTGAGATATAAGCAACTATTGGCAGAAAGGTGGGCTGGTGCAGGTATGAGTAGTGGGGGAGGGGGGTTGAAGAGGGTTGGAATAGTTTTAAAAATGCAGTATTAGAATGTGGGGCAGAAGTTTGTGGTTATAGGAGGGTGGGTGCAGGAGGAAAGAGGAGTGATTGGTGGAATGATGAAGTAAAGGGTGTGATAAAAGAGAAAAAGGTAGTTTATGAGAGGTTTTTACAAAGCAGAAGTTTTATAAGAACAGCAGAGTATATGGAGAGTAAAAGAAAGGTGAAGAGTGCGGTGAGAGTGTAAAAGGAGAGCAGATGATGGAATGGGAGAGACACTGTCAAGCAATTTTCCTGAGAATAAGAAAAAAATTTTGGAGTGAGATAAACAGGTTAAGAAAACCTAGGGAGCGAATGGATTTGTCAGTTAAAACCAGAGTAGGGGAGTTAGCAGATGGGGAGATGGAGGTATTGAGTAGATGGCGGGAATATTTTGAGGAACTTTTAAATGTCGACGAAGAAAGGGAAGCGGTAATTTTATGCACTGGCCAGGGAGATATACCATCTTTTAGGAGTGAAGAAGAACAGGATGTGAGTGTGGGGGAGGTGCGTGAGGCATTACGTAGAATGAAAGGGGGTAAAGCAGCTTGAACTGACGGGATTATGACAGAAATGCTAAAAGCAGGGGAGGACATAGTGTTGGAGTGGTTGGTTTTTTGTTTAATAAATGTATGAAAGAGGGGAAGGTACCTAGAGATTGGCAGAGAGCATGTATAGTCCCTTCATATAAAGGGAAGGAGGACAAAAGAGATTGTAAAAATTATAGGGGAATAAATTTACTGAGTATACTAGGTAAAGTGTACGGTAGGGTTGTAAATCAGGTGTTTACATTGAAGCATATATGTGAACAGTTTTTAGATAAAGATAGGGAAGTTTTCATTGCATTTATGGATTTAGAAAAGGCATATAATAGAGTGGATAGAGGAGCAATGTGGCAGATGTTGCAAGTATATGGAATAGGTGGTAAGTTACTAAATGCTGTAGAGTTTTTATGAGGATAGTGAGGCTCAGGTTAGGGTGTGTAGGAGAGAGTATGAAGGGAGGGAGTATGGAAGAAGTGAATGTTTTCAGATATTTGGAAGGTGACTTGTCAGTGGATGGGTTTATGAAGGATGAGGTTAACCATAGAACTGATGATGAGAAAAAGGTGAGTGGTGCATTGAGGTATCTGTAGAAACAAAGAATGTTATCCTTGGAGGCAAAGAAGGGAATGTACGAGAGTATACTGGTACCAACACTCTTATATGGGTGTGAAGCATAGGTTGTAAATGCTGCAGCGAGGAGGAGGCTGGAGGCAGTAGAGATGTCGTGTCGAAGGGCAGTGTGTGGTCTACATATTATGCAGATAATTCCTAGTGTGGAAATCAGGAGGAGATGTGGAGTTACTTAAATTATTAGTCAGAGGCCTGAAGAGGGGTTGAGGTGGTTTGGTCATATAGAGAGAATGGAACAAAGTTGAATGACTTGGAAAGCGTATAAATCTGTTGGGGAAGGGAGGCGGGGTAAGGGTCGTCCCCAAAAAGATTGGAGGGTGGGGGTAAAAGAGCGTGCGTGAGTGTGTTACTTAGGAATGAATGGAGACGAATGGTTTTCGGGACCTGACGAGCTGTTGGAGTGAGAGCAGGGTAAAATTTTGTGAAGGGATTCAGGGAAACCAATTAGCCGGCATTGTACTTCCTGGAAATGGGAAGTACAATGCCTGCACTTTAAAGGAGGGGTTTGAAATATTGGCAGTTGGGTGTGAAGCATGGGTGGTGAATGTTGCAACAAGGAGAAGGCTGGTGGCGGTGGAGTTGTCATGTCTGAGGGCAATGTGTGGTGTAAATATAATGTAGAGAATTCGTAGTTTGTAAATTTAGAGGAGGTGCGGGATTACCAAAACTATTATCCAGAGGGCTGAGGATGGGTTGTTGAGGTAGTTTGGACATGTAGAGAGGATGAAAGGAAATAGAATGACTTCGAAAGTATTATAAATCTATAGTGGATGGACGGTGGGGTAAGGGCCGACCTAGGAAAGGTTACAGGAGGGGGTAAAGGAGGTTTTGTGTGTGAGGGGCTTGGACTTCCAGCAAGCATGCGTGAGCGTGTTAGATAAGAGCAAATGAAGACAAATGGTTTCTAGGACTTGACGTGCTGTTGGAGTGTGAGCAAAGTAGCATTTATGAAGGGATTCAGGGAAACCGGCAGGCCGGACTTGAGTCCTGGAGATGGGAAGTACAGTGCCTGCACTCTGAAGGAGGGGTGTTAATGTTGCAGTTTTATAACTGTAATGCAAGCGTGTCTGGCAAAACAGTGATGGAGTGAATGATGGTGAAAGTTCTTTTTCGGGCCACCCTACCCTGGTGGGCCACCCTGCCTTGGTGCGCCACCCTGCCTTGGTGCGCCACCCTGCCTTGGTGGGCCACCCTGCCTTAGTGGGCGACGGCCGAGTGTTAATAAAATAAATAAATAATGTATATATATATGTATGTATGTATATATGTATATATGTATGTAGGTTAGGGTGTGTAGAAGAGAGGGAGAATACTTCCCGGTAAAAGTAGGTCTTAGACAGGGATGTGTAATGTCACCATGGTTGTTTAATATATTTATAGATGGGGTTGTAAAAGAAGTAAATGCTAGGGTGTTCGGGAGAGGGGTGGGATTAAATTATGGGGAATCAAATTCAAAATGGGAATTGACACAGTTACTTTTTGCTGATGATACTGTGCTTATGGGAGTTTCTAAAGAAAAATTGCAAAGGTTAGTGGATGAGTTTGAGAATGTGTGTAAAGGTAGAAAGTTGAAAGTGAACATAAAAAAGAGTAAGGTGATGAGGGTATCAAATGATTTAGATAAAGAAAAATTGGATATCAAATTGGGGAGGAGGAGTATGGAAGAAGTGAATGTTTTCAGATACTTGGGAGTTGACGTGTCGGCGGATGGATTTATGAAGGATGAGGTTAATCATAGAATTGATGAGGGAAAAAAGGTGAGTGGTGCGTTGAGGTATATGTGGAGTCAAAAAACGTTATCTATGGAGGCAAAGAAGGGAATGTATGAAAGTATAGTAGTACCAACACTCTTATATGGATGTGAAGCTTGGGTGGTAAATGCAGCAGCGAGGAGACGGTTGGAGGCAGTGGAGATGTCCTGTCTAAGGGCAATGTGTGGTGTAAATATTATGCAGAAAATTCGGAGTGTGGAAATTAGGAGAAGGTGTGGAGTTAATAAAAGCATTAGTCAGAGGGCAGAAGAGGGGTTGTTGAGGTGGTTTGGTCATTTAGAGAGAATGGATCAAAGTAGAATGACATGGAAAGCATATAAATCTATAGGGGAAGGAAAGAGGGGTAGGGGTCGTCCTCGAAAGGGTTGGAAAGAGGGGGTAAAGGAGGTTTTGTGGGTGAGGGGCTTGGACTTCCAGCAAGCGTGCATGAGCGTGTTAGATAGGAGTGAATGGAGACGAATGATACTTGGGACCTGACGATCTGTTGGAGTGTGAGCAGGGTAATATTTAGTGAAGGGATTCAGGGAAACCGGTTATTTTCATATAGTCAGACTTGAGTCCTGGAAATGGGAAGTACAATGCCTGCACTTTAAAGGAGGGGTTTGGGATATTGGCAGTTTG